CTCCCCTATGACTGCAGTACTATTCACAATAGCTAAGATACGCAATCAACCCATGCATCTATCAACAGACAAATAAAGGAAATGTGATAAATAGACAGAAAATACTGTTCAGCTATTAAAAAAGAATACTATCATTTGAGGCAATACCAATGAGCCTGAAGGATATATGTGAAGTGAAATAACCTAGGCACAGAGACAAAAGTCACATGTTCTCACTCAAATGTGGGGAACTAAAAAAGTTGGGCTTATAGTACGAGAGAATAGAATAGTGATTCTCAGAGGCTGAGAAAGGTAGGGAACAAAAAGAGGGATTAGAGAGATGTCAATAAATATATACAAAATTAGCTAGATAAGAGGAATAAATTCTAGTATTCTATAGCATAATAGAGTAACTATAGTTAACAAAATATTATATTTTTGGAACAGCTAAAAGACGATTTTAACTATCCCAAGAAAATGTAATCATAAATGTTTAAAGTTATGGTTATGCTAATTACCCTAATTACCCTGACTTGATTATTGCACATTGTATTTTTGTACTGAAAAAAATCACAATGTACCCCATCAATATGTACAACTATTATTATGTGTCAAAAATTTTTTTAAATTATACATAAAGAACATACAAAACCTGAAAAAAAAACACTGAGACAACAGTGCTCCCTAAAAAGAGCTGAAGACAGGGGCCAGGTGGTGCTGGGGTGGTTCAGGCATCTGAATCCCACATAGCTGACTATGTAGCTCAAATCCTGGACCCAGGAAGCTGGAAAAACATGTCATTCATGTGTGTGCTAAAAATTCTGAGAGGAGAAGGAATTGCAATGTGGCCACCCCCCAAGGAAGTGATTTCTCTCTCTCTCTGGAGTGATACACAGGCCCTATAACAAAACTAAAAAGCCAAAGATAATACAGATGAAAAGAAAAAGATGACTCACACTTGGTTTTTATAATATATAAGCTAAGCATCTATTCATAACAAAATCAACTGGAAACTGTCGCCAATTTTCCATTCATTCAGTAAAGGTTAAATCAGTACAAACTATCATACATAATATCTTTCTAAATAAAAAAAAAATCCTAAAAGTCTAAAACTTAAAATATATTAAAGAAATCAGTTAGGAGCTAGCAGGTGGTTAAGGCACTGGACTCCCACATGGCCAACTGCAGTTTGAATCCCCAGCCCAGCAGCCTGAAAATCATGCTAGCTACATGTGCATGCGTGCCCAAAATCCTAGGAGGAGAATGGAGAAGGGACGGCAACATGGCCATCCCCCAGGGGATGATTTCTCACTTTCCTTCTGTGTCTGTCACAACTATCAGTATAAAAAGCAAAAGTTGTCAGATTCATCCTAGTATTTAGGTGTTAGAAATGATACATTGGGTGGTCAGAAAAGTCTGATACATTTTTGCATAGAAAAACAGAAAAAACACATCATGACTTTTCTGACAACTCAATATATCCAAAATAGTTATCTGCAAAAATTTACTTAGGATAACATCTCCGTAAGAATAAATATAGGTGAAATGCTTAGGAAATATTTTTAACTCACATATTTACTAATTATGCAGCGGTTACCTAGAAAAAGGTCTTGTGCAGATGTCTTTTCTTTCCATTGATTATGCCATAATTTAAAAGACTTTCTGATTACTCACAATTCCACTTTCCTAACTCATAAGATCCATCTATTTTCCATCATAGCAGCCACAGAAACTTTATGGAGAAGCATTTGTAGATATTTGCATCCACAAAAAATTAGCCAGGATTTTGTTCCTTACCTAAAGTTGCCCTGAAATTTTTGCTTTAATGAATAAAATTTCTAGCTATAAAAAAAGCTAGTTAAATAACTGAAATTAGTTTATATTGTATATTTTAGCTCCAAATGGAAATTGGAAGAATTTACATTCACGCATCAAGCCAAGCCAGGCCACAAAGACTGCATTCTTGCACTTAATATGACTGGTAAGAAATGTATTATTTCTCCAAGTAAAATGTTTGACAATGAAAAGTGGCCAAATCCCATATACACATTTGGTGTTTTCACATTAAATTTGAAACTCAAACAATTAGAACATCACTTTTTTTGTTTCTTTGTTAAAAAAAGTATGTTATTTTAATTATATTTAAGTTTACTTATGTCTTCTGTAAGAGAGAGAAGCATTCCTAAAAGGGTCCGTCATCACACCACAATCTACCTCCACCTTCAAACACCCCAGATCATTGGCACACAAGTGCCTGGTCTACTTAAGTAGATCTCTAGACACAACCCTGAAATCCTCCCATGTGCTTCTGCTTTCTCCAGGCATCTCATTTCACTGCTGCATCAGGTCAGCCACAGAACTTCATTTTAATACAAAAACCAATTATCTTTATTACTCTCCATTGCCACAGCTAACTACAAACAGCAGGAGTACAACTATATACTAGGGGCTGTACAGATAAGGTGCATTAATGTATGAATAAACTAGTGAAAATCCTACCAGAACCTCAAGCATTCTTAGACATTTTTTTTTTATTTGCCAGAGGGCATGTGGCTTGCAGAGATACAGAGAGCAGAAGGAGAGAGAAAAAGCACCCCTAGTAGGGCACTGTCATAATAGAATCTTTTCTCCTCCATTTCTCCATCTTGTCAAGATTTGGAGCATGCACAAAATGTCCCTGTGTGTTTTTCAAGCCACTGTCCAGAACTCAAACTGTGTAGTTGGCAATGCAGGACCAGGCTCCCTTAACCACAAGACTCCAGGGCTGGCCCAAAACTTAAACTTTTAATTTGTGATTTACTAATGAACTACACATTAATCTTATGGTAAGATAAACATATTACTATAGAAAGAAAATTTCATTAGATGATTCTTCAGATGATGATGTGCCTTTAAGACACTATTTTTTAAAGACCTTATAAGGCTGGCCCCATTGCCTAGTGGCTAAGGAAACAAACCCACATGACCCACCATGTTTCAAATCCCACCTTGGAGGCTTGAAAAACATGTTGGGTATGTGTGCAAGCATGCCAAAACTCCTGATAGGATAGAGAAATGTAGAAGAACTGTAGCATGACCATGCCCTAACCTGGAGTGCTTTCTCCCTCTCCCTCCCTCTAGCTGTCACTCTGTTTCTCTGGTGAGCACATGCACACTCTCACAATTAAAAAAGAAATTAAAAAGCAATGAACTAAAATCTTCTAAAAACCAAAAAACCTTAAACATAAGCCTCTATGATCAAGAGTATATTCTATATATATAATAAATAAATATATATATATATATATTTTTTTTTTTAAAGAGGTTTTCGCTATAGGGCGCATGCACTCGCCAGACAGACAGAGAGAGACATAGAGACAGAAAGCGAGAAATCACCCCCCAGGGGGGGTGGTCATGCCGCAATCCCTTCTCCTCCATTCTCCTCTTGGGATCTTGGGCATGCATGCACACACGCCTGGCGTGAGTTTTAAGCCACTGGGTCCGGGACACGAACCACAGTCGACTATGTAGGAGTCCAGCAACATAGCCATTACGCTAACTGCTGGTTCCCAATAAATTTGCTTTAAATGTTAATTTCCTAATTTATTTTTTTAAAGCAGAGCAAAATTTAAAAGCTCTAACTTTTCAAAAGCTAAAAGATACATGGAATGTTCTCAGAAAAATAATTATCCCATTCTTACTTCAAGCATGCATTATTTCTATCTACATTTTCTATGTATCTCATTAGAATCAAGTGATATATTATACTGAACAATGTGGTTTCCTCAATAATTTCAAATCCTAGAAAGCAAAAATCACATTAATTAATTTTATGTGTAGCGTTATCAATAATTATTGATAATTGTTATTAATCAAGCTATCAATAATTGATTTTATATGTAGAATTCAATTTAAAATACCTTATATTCATGTAAGGATTTAGGAAAGAAAATTACTCAACTACCTAATACTGGTTAGTTCAACTGATACTAAACATGCATCAAAGTTCTTAAATAAAAAAAAATTAAAAAGTTTATGTAAATATGTTCTTTAAATTTCTAACAAGTATTTTTAGATCTGTGCTATTGACTTAAGATAAAATTCCTATAACCTAATAAATCAAATATGTATACATTTTCCAATATATTTGTTTTAAATATATGCACAATTATTTATATACACATTTACACATATTATACATATATAATGTATAAATTACCTCAACTCACTGTTTAATAAGCACAAATAAAAGCATTAAATATGTTCAAAAGAGTAGCAGAAATGAACTTTAAAGATTATTGGGATAACAAAAATATAGTTGTAAAAAGCCATAAAAAAGCACAAATCATTAATCTTATGATAATGTAGATAACTCTCATCTTGACAATAGTTCAAAAAGAAATTGTCAATAGTTAGTAAATAAACATGAATCTCTATAGTATCCTAAGATATATAAAATTATTCATTTGTTTGTATTTTTTTCCAATCACATTTAAGAAAAAATATATATGGGCCAGCAGGTGGTGGTGACTAAGGCGAGGACATCCACATGGCCAACTGCAGTCTGAGTCCCAGACCTGGCAGCTTGAGAATCACCCAGGCATGTATGCATGTGCCCAAAATTCCAAGAGGAGAATGGAGAAGAGACTGTAGTACGGCCATACCGCCTGGGGGGTAATTTTTCTCTCTCTCTCTTCCTCTTTGGTAAGCACAAGAGTCCCATACCAAAAAAACAAATAAACAAAAAACAAACAAACAAACAAAAAACACTAAAAAGATATTTATCTACATATGGAAAAATATATTTGCATTTGAAAACTACAATGGATATGACAAAACATCTAAAATTAAAATAAAAATAAATAAGCGGAAATAAAGTATTTATTTCCTAAGTTCCAATTTTTAACTTAAAAACAAAGGGGGGAATGAAATATTTGAATACATTAGAAACATGGAGGGTGGGGGCAGGGAAGAAACTCAGAAATCAAACTACTCTAAAAGCCAATGCACAAATCGATGCCAATTTTAAAATCAGAGCATACCATGCATTCATTGGTTTGGGGGATTTTGAAGGAGCAGTTAAAACTGTTTCCACGCTATTCATTCCTGAATTGTTTTCTTTGGTAGTCAATGCAATCATTTTTCGTTGCTTCTGAGACAGTTTAACTCCATGAGAAATCATTTTGCTAGAAAATAAATTAAATCAATTAGTTTCACTGGCTTCATTGTTTCTGAGAAAAGTTAAATTCCATGATAAATGATTTTGTTAGAAATTAAATTAAAACAATTAGCATTGATTCCTGCTTAATGAAGGTTAAAGGTAATGATAATATTTTCTATTTACTTGGTATTTTTCAATTATTATTGGATAAAAACAGTAACAAATTTCAGTATCAGCATATACTACCAATGATCAAGCTATAGATACATATTAGCTCTCTAACATATCATATTTCTCAAAGGGCACTTGCATCACAATCCTTAAATCTTTGGCTTTTCTTCAGAAATAGCCCACATGATCTTTTTTTTTTTTTTTTGAGAGAAAAAATTCTGCTACAGGGGTATGTATTTGCCAGAGAGAGACAGACAAAGGCAGAAAGCGAGAAATCACCCTCCAAGGGGGATGGCCATGCCGTAATCCTTTATCCTCCAGTCTCCTCTTGGTATCTTGGGCATGTGCACACATACACTCCCCATGTGAGTTTTTAAGTCCCTGGGTCTGGGATTCAAACCACAGTTGACTACACGGGAGTCCAGTGACGTAACCATTACACCATCTGCTGATCCCTCCACAATGATCATTTTAGAGGCAAGTTTTTGACAAGCAATACTGCATTCCACATGAGCTGTTCTCACTCAATTCATTCTTTTAGCACACATTTAAGAAATAATATTATGATGGCAAAATCACCTAAAAAGGGGCTTATAGGGAACCAGCAGTTAGCGTAATGGCTATGTCGCTGGACTCCCACGTAGTCGACTGCGGTTCGTATCCTGGACCCGGTGGCTTAAAACTCACACCGGGCGCGTGTGCGTGCATGCCCAAGATCCCAAGAGGAGAATGGAGAAGGGATTGCGGCATGACCATCCCCCCTGGGGGGTGATTTCTCGCTTTCTGTCTCTGTCTCTCTCTGTCCGTCTGGCGAGCGCACGCGCCCTACAGCAAAAACCTCTCCAAAAAAAAAAGGGGGGCTTATAATTATAACATCAAATGCAGAAAAATAAAAGGAAGACGTAGTAGGTCTTTCCAACTCTTTAGAGCAAAAATATAACACAACATGGCATGGCCTTATCTTTTTTAAAAGATTTTTTTTTAACTAACCCTATATTTGACTTTGGTGTAGCTCCACATCTTTGTCTGCTTTCTTCTATTTCCATGATGGTTCTGAGATCCACAACAGGAGGGCTGACAGGACTAAAAAGACATAAAATGTTACTTTACAAAGTATTCACTTAACTATAAAACCCAACTACCAAACTTCACTGAAAATAACTTAAATGGGGAACCAGCAGTTAGCGTAATGGCTATGTCGCTGGACTCCCACATAGTCGACCACGGTTCGCATCCCGGACCCAGTGGCTTAAAACTCACGCCGGGCGCATGTGCGTGCGTGCGTGCCCAAGATCCCGAGAGGAGAATGGAGGAGAAGGGATTG